TCAAAGGGGAGGGGGGGGGGGATAAAAACAGAAGCTATCAGATATCAGAGGAAATAACAAGGAGCTGCATTATAGAACAAAATCTCCTCATATATTTGAGCGTTTGTGTTTTGTCTCTACTAACAGCCTCAATAATGGCCATTTTGACCATAAGTGTAAACCATTTTCTTTTACATGTTACTGCCCTTTCAAAAGCTAGAGAAGAATGTTGAGCAAAAAATTTCCATAATACCTTGTTTTTATGCATAGTAGTAGGTCTGAAATATTCAAAAATATTGTTATGCTATCTGATCATACAGTAACAGCTAAACAACCGATACTTTCAGACTGTCCTGAAATAGGAATGTAAAAATTGTATATTTAACTTAACTTTAATAAGTACTAGGGGAGTAGGTCATTTCCTTGGAAATAACAATTTTGTATTTTTTTTACAGAATATGCAAATGTCTTTGATTGATTTAAGATCCCAAAGAGTCTTGTATGACACAAAAGCAGGGATTTGGACTGGATATTTCGGAAATATTATGTTTAAATTACATTCACACAGATTTCAGATCAGTCTAAAGAAGTGATCTTTAATGCTTTTAAGTGAATAACAAAAAGAAAAGAAAAAGGTCAAATTTATCTAACATTTTACACTCTGTCAAATACTTACTATCAAATTTGACAAAGAAGCCTTAGGGAGATGGTAGGCAAACAGTTCAATCTGATCAGCAGTTGGATGTAATCCTCCTTGCTAAAAGAGAAAAAACAAAAACAATCTATTTGTACTTGCATAATTCTCAAGAGTCATTAAAAATGAGCAAAGAACTTTGTTAAATAAAATCACTTTGGTATGATAACAATCAAATATGAAAAACACATGAATAATCATTACTGGCCTCAAGACCTCCTGTTTCAGTTCTTCTAACAACAGACAGGTAAATGGGAAAGTAATCGTTTACAGTTTATAATTTTTTTGAAAAGAATCTTATCCAAAGGTTGCATTACATTAACTTCCTTGAATGACCTGTTCATTCTAATTTCCTGTCTCAGTCCCATGGAGGACATAAGAGGTGACACACGGTCAGACACTCACACGCCACCTTTGTTTTTCTGCCATTATTGATAATGGTAGCAGGGTGAACAAAAAACCCCCCAAAAAAGTATTTTTGCAAAGGGCACAGCATGCTACTCTGAAAATATAGCTTACAGTACTCTCAGATAAAAACAGAAGAAATTGCATACATAATACTTTATCTTCAGCGAGTCCCTTATTGTATTTGATATAATATTTGATAACAAATATACAAAGATTTCCTTAGGTGAGAAATCTCGTCTGCTGAGGAATTATCTTACATTCTTACACAGAAACATGCACGTTATTCTTGTCATTTACCATAATTGGTTCAATCGGTTGTTTCACGATATCCTTCAATATTCGTAAATCTTTTGCAAAGAATGTCGTCACTTCTCCATTCTCATAGAGCGTGTTGTAGCGACCAGCCCTACCCCCTATCTGAAGGGCTTGAGACGTTGAGATGAGGTCCATTTCGATGTCTCCTTTTTCATTTAGCATGGGTTTCATCACAGAGTAGAACACAATACGTTTAATGGCTCTGAAATAAGAAAATAGGGTTCATTACTGGGTCAAACTGCATCAACTTTAGACCTCTATTTTCAGGACATTTTCTTGTTTAAAATCTGTGACCACAACTTGAATTTCCATTGAAGGGGATAGGATGTCACAGTAACATCCATCTATGCTAAGACGGAAAGCCTAAAAGAAACCCAAAACAAATTACATTCAAAAAGGAACTTGTAAGGTCTTCTCGTTCATCTTCTTCTTCTAATTCAATCTTCCCTGCAGGGAATGAAAAACAAAAGATGCCCTCTTTATAGTCAAGCATCTTGCCAACTAAAGCTACAGTAACAGAATTATTAACCCTTTGGAGATCAAAAGGTAGAAGATTCTATCAATGTTTATGACAGTCCTTAAATCAGACACAGCTAGAAAGCCTGTAAAAAGTGTACCATTTTTTGGGTTCCCAAAGTTTCATGAAAAAATCTACTTGAAATGTGCTGAGAGACAGACTTACAAATTCAATCCCATTCCAATGGCATCCGTAGCAACCATGACTTTGCAAGAGTTGTTGGGATCATTAAACTTGGCAGCTTGAGCAAGCTTTGTTGCTGTCATAGAAAGAGAAACATAAGAAAAACATGTGTCACAAAACATAAAATTTCAAAATATGCAATCATTTTCATTTTGTTACGGGTTTTATGAAGAATGATAAACAGCAAAGGGCATGAAAGGACAAGTTATACAGACGCAGCAGCCTCTAGCAAACGTGGATTTGAAAAATCACCTGCAGGCCATATCCAACAGACTTGCATTAATACCCAAAGGGGAAAAGCAGGAAGACCAAGACAGCCGACATTATACACCTCTTCTACTTCTAAAAGAAAAAAAAAATATACATGTCATCAAACTTGAAGAAGTGATTGTGTATGCAACCTCCACTATAAATGGTCTCTTAGTAATTAATTCTCAGTGAATTTGAGCCAGAAATGAAAATAAACATAGCCAATACTCTAATCAGATAAATTACCCCATGAGACGCAAGAAGAGTGATTATATCTTTTAAATAATATTGGAATCAAAATTTTCTATCACATATTAACTTCATATCTCATTGTCAAGAGTAATCATTCTTACACATATTAACTTCATATCTCATTGTCATGAGTAATAATTCTGACGGAGACAAACTTACAAGGAGGAAGGGACCCATAGATGACTGCACATTCTTTGTTTTGCTGTTCAAGTTGTTTAGTCACATAATAAATGTCATTTTTGTTGAAGCACACAATGCAATCCCCTGGTCTGACATTCTCAAACTTCTCTGGAAAATGCAAATGCAAAAAATAAAAAAAAATTTTTTAGGAAATACAGCAAGAAAACAATAATTTAATCATAGTTTATGAGGAAGAACAGCAATGAACTGTACAAGACTATGTGAAGGACATGCATCTTTCCTAAACTGGTGGAAAATAAAAGACTCTACAAATTGGACCCACTTTTGTTTCTTTTTGCTTTAATAAAGTTTTACGCCACTTGCAACTGCATATGAACACAAAGGGGTGGATGTCAACAGAGAAGTCCAAACGGGGAATCAGGCTCACTCTGCTCACCTCACTTGCCTCAACAGCACAAAGTCTGCTTCTACTATCAAGGAACCCTCGAAATAGCAGTTCACAAGAGAGTGACAAACATACTAAAGAAGTACAGGAAAATTACAATAGTAAAGATGAGGAAAGAAAAAGCAGCAGTTCCCCCAATGTTGCTCCGGCACAGTATGAGCATGACATTGATAAATCAGCCAGTTTACAATTCTACTGTGCATAAGAACATGTTAATATCCCACCTTTGGGAATGGCCTAAAGACAACTTCAGTCAGTAGCACTGCCCTGGTGGAGATGACCCACTTTAGTCACGTATGCTAGAAACATTTGATACCCAATTTTTCGTAATTTTCAATTCTCAAAAGTTAATGGCAGCTTTGTGGACTTAAAGCATTCTCAGAACTAGGCATAGACACTAACTATGAGCATGAAAGTAAACACTATGAATCCTCCCGATTCCACAGACTTCGACCAACATGAAAATGGAAAAATAAAATCATAATGTAAAACCCCCACCCCAACCCCAAATAACAACCAATCCCAAGACAAACAAAAATCAATTGACTCAATATACTAGGTGTGAACATCAAAATCATTAGTGGACATGAATAAAGCTTTATGTATATATGCTGCTAATCCTACCAAAGTAGGAGAGGATTGGTCAAGAATTTTATAAGAAATTATGCAAAAAAAGATTTTTAAAAAAAGATGGGGAAAAAAAATTAGGCTATGACCTCAATATACTCACCAACAGCATGGTCTAAATAAGAGAGATTTGTGAGTCGCTTGTATCTTCTCACCTGCAAAAACAATTTCAAGTTATTGCTATTTTCGACAATGTTGATGAAATAATATCCACAGCTAAAGAAAGTATTCAATGTTCTCACTATTGTAAGAAGGGAAAAAAGAGGCCTGATTTTCTTCTTAAAGCTTTTCCAATCGACAAAATTTCAATCACTTTCATAGAAATACTTAGATATTCTTTGAAATGAGAAAAACAGGGGATAAATAGTCTGCTTGTGAACCAATCCTTCAGTCTGAATATCAAAAACAAGGCATATATATGATCTCGAACAGCACTCACTTAAAGAATATAATTTGAATGGAATCCTGTACAACTAAGCATCGATTATAAAGGGCATACTAGTACCACACATACTTCTTGAAATCCAGGAGCTTTACAAAAGCGAGGTAAAAAAAAATCTCCAGTTGACCTTTAAACTAGGACCTTGAGGAAAATATACACCAGACATAGATACTCAGAAAGATGCATTATGTAAAAAACTAATTAAGATAAAGAAGCAAATTTCCCATACCTCTACTTCCTCGCCAGTGGTGAGTGCCAACTCTCTCACCAAGTCAATAGACGAGGCTTCTCCACACACATGAATCTCCTCGGCATACAGACCCAGAACAGCGCGGGTCCACGCCCATCCTCGCTGAGCGTCCCTGATCATTTGGATCTCATCTACCACTGCTACATCATCTGTAGAGTAAACATTATCATGAAACAGCATACCTGTACAACTGAACGCTCTCCCAATACCAGCTTGTATATTCTACCTCACCATAAACATCCTTCAGCAGACATGCAGCTCATCATGCTCATAATGACTGCTCAGTGTAAGATTCCATCAAGCATCACTCTTCCTAATGGCATATGGCAGAATCTTATACTAAGCAGTCGATACTGATATAGTTCACAAAGTGTTGTTTGTTTTGACAAAGGAGAGCTCATTTATAGCTGGTTGAAGTAAGGAAAAAGAAGCTGGAATGTGCTTTCTAAAAGTCACCATGTTTTGCTCACAAAGCAGGATAACAGACTAATGATCTTAAGAATCTCAGTCTTATACTGGTATCTTCCCACTTTAGCATACTAGAAAGGGTCATTTGGTATACCAAAACTTTGTTCGTGTGGCATGGCTTTATAGATACATAATGAAAGCAATAAAGAATACATCGATCTCAGAGCCGATAGAAAAAGATGAAAAAGGAAAGTACTACTGCAGTAATACAAAACATATGTCAGAAATAAAAAGCAACAACAGATGATTGGCTCTGTTGTACGTGGGTCCTTCAGAACGAACAAATTTATATTCTAAAATTTTCAGCAACTACATAAAACTTCATGAACCCTAATTAAAATACACTTTAATTCAATAGCACCAAGATTATGTAGACCTAATTTAATTTCCATGATAACTTAATAATTAACTTCTATTCTTCTAAACAAGAAGAGGAATGCCAAAATGTTACAGCACAGAGGACAATGTACATACACTGAGTGGTCAGGCTGGTCATTTCTACTGTACATGCAACATGACTGGACTGTGAGCCATCCTCATTTGCATGTCGTCGTTCTTCACCAGTAACAAGATCACATGGAGTTCCCTACATACAAGAAAACAAAAAACACAGAAATTATAGTAAATCCAACCACCCTTGGGTTTGTAATCCTCAGTTTCATCATGGACGGAAGGAGGAAATTTCTTTTAGTTCTTCAACATCTGAGATTAATTGAAACATGAATAAACAGAAAAACTGTAGAGATTTTGGTCACATACAATTTCTGAAAATTATAAAATATTGTTAAGTCCAGAATTGTTCTTGTATTTGTGATAATTGTGCAAAGACATCAGAAAAAGTTATGCATGGTTAACTCAGAACCGGAGGCAAACATTTTTCAATTTGCGTTGGGAAAGAAACCTAGCTCATGTCAACAGATAGTTCATTATCTCTTTTCAAGGTCAACGTAGAGATACAATTTTCTTTCAAGACCAAAAGAAACAGACTATCCCTTTAGTAAAAAAGGGAAAAGAAGTTAGAGAAAAATCGTTTTTACTTCATTCAATTTAGAGTGTCAAAAGGAACTAAATATTTGACAGACAAAACAAATCCTCAAAACAATCTCAAACTTCTGTTCTTTTTTTTTTTTTTTAAATCTTTAAAGCAGACAAATGTCTCCACTGCCTAGCTCATCTTAGTACAAAAGGTGACTTTTAAGTCAATGATAAAGCCTGCAACTTACATAAGATTAGATAGCTGTCCAGGTGACCTAAGCATGATGTCTTACTGAAATAGAGATGAACAATTTTGCTTTAAAATTGTTCTGGCACTTACAGCCTCATTGCACTTGTGGTAGACCTCTGAAGCCAAAAGCTTGAGAGGGCCACAGTAGATACCAGATTTGGCATTGATGAACCTTTCCAGGGCCTGGTAAGTCTTTCCACTGTTGGTCGGGCCAGCATGGAAGATGAACTTTCTTTGCATAGACCGTGCCTCTGGGTACCTGAATACAAGGTGAAATGACCAGATCTACCAGGAGAAAATAAAACATCATCTGCGTGTGTGTGTGTGTGTGTGTGTGTGTGTGTGTGTGTGTGTGAGAGAGAGAGAGAGAGAGAGAGCCTGTGCGTGTGCATGTGTGCGGCATGCCTGTATGTGTGTGTGTA